GGAGCGCCTTTCGCTCCTTCTCTGCTAGTGGATAGATAGGCCCGAAGGGCGGAGTACTTCCCGGAATCAAATCAATTCTATGATCATACTTTGTATGCTCCGGTAACGCATCGATATTTTCTTGACTGAAAATGTCACCAAAGTCCTTATACTCTGGTAGAAGTTGGACTGTGACATCTTCGCCTTTATCATCCGAGAACTGTACCGTCCCAAGAAAATATACATTTTCGGGATCTTCGGCTAACAGTTCCTCGTCCATCATATAAACTAACCGCCTCTGCTTTGTTAGGCAATTCGCCTTACAAAAATCTGAGCGCCAGGTCAGTGATCCTACTTTCCAATCGATGTCTGGATTGTGGTCCTTTAACCACGACATTGGGAGATAGCCGTCGACGCGAGTGTCGGCCATATCTGCTACCTCGAAACGCATACCATTCATGTGATCGCCTATCTTCAGATCCAATGACTTGGTATAATGAAGACCAGATCCCGGTATGCGGTTGCCACTTGCATCGTGTATTGGAGTCTGGATTCTTCTCCGTACACAAGGAGCTTGAGTACTCTTGATCCACTTACTACTTAGCACTGGGCCAGTAGCTCCACTATCTAATAATAATAGTGCTTCTGCACTTACTTGCCTGCACCCTATGCGCCAATCCAGTGTCACTCGTAAGTGAATAGACTTGCTATGCTTGGGTGGGCTAGAGTGCCGCGCTTTCTTACTTTGTCCTTTGATACTCATTCTTGCTAGTCTCTTGCCTTTCGACACAAGAGCGGCCACAACGGGTCGGTAAACGTTTTCAAGAATAGTTTAATCAATAAAGGGAATTGGAGTGCTGTTTACTATTACGCCAGCATGATTTCGGGTACTAAACCCTCCTCAGGTAAACTTGAAACGTAACTTTTATTCAAGACTGATAACCTGAGACCAATTCCAAAGTACAAGACAAACGACCCATATAAGACAAAAAATATATTTGCTCTCTGGAGACGTCCAGTCAACCGGTGCCAAACAGGGCATCTTTGTGCCCCATCCGAATGTCGCGCGGTTCCCATTTTCCAGAGCGACCCCTCGGAGCAGAATGCTTAATCAAAGAAAAACCTGAAAGTAATTTCCCCGAAATGTCCAACATGAATTAACATAACCACCCTTAGGAAATAACGGAACCCAAGAACCAAACTCCGCGTGCGACCATAACATCTACCTGGCGAGGTAGTCTCCCGACATTCCTATGTCAAAGACTTTGTCAGTGCTAAAGAGCTAGCCATCGCGGATGGGTTCTTACCTTAAATCCGTCCTTGGTGCGACTATTTATTTCCAGTAGACCTTCACAGGTCTAGAAAATTAGCCGTTATCAATTCCTTCATAGGGTTAGGTTCTTACCTAGTTCATCACCCGTATCAACCTCCATAATGGTAGGTGAGGGTTTGCGGGCTTCCAAAAGCTTGGGGCCAGAGGGCGGCGGTCGAGACGCTTCAATGCGCTTTAATCGCTTATTGCCACTAGTAGAGGATTCCGCCTTTGGTCGTGACCGTTTCACTCCCGCGGTATTCCTCACAGCATGTACGACAGGGGAGGTGACCGAACACTGTCTCCAGAAGTGTCCTTCTCTCCCGCACTTGGTGCATTGCTTATTGTTGCGTCGTTTCTCAGTCAGGGTCTGAGGGATGTCTCGATGAGCAATAGCGTACTCAGACGTCCCTGCCTGCTTTCCGGCGCCAACATTAGCGGTCTTCCGCGGTTTGTTGTCCTTCCAACCCGAACCTTTCTCCTTCTTCTTGAACCTTCCAGTAGGTTTAGAAGTTTCCTTCTCTCTCTTCTCTCATGGTCTCGTGGGTTTCTCGTCAACGAGGTGTCCAAAACGTTTATCATCCTCTAAGTTATGACTGACCTGTCGGAGTAGATCCAGGTAGTCATTGAGGCTTTCGGGGTGAGGCGTCTTTAACGCCCATGCTGCCCGTAGTTTCGCTGTTATTCCAGCCCGAACCTTATCCTTCACCTGTTGATGGTCTGTGTAGTTTAGCTTATACATCAGATCAATTATCCTATCCAGGTAAGGAGCGCTTTGGTTGGGTTTCATCACCAAGTCATTCCACTCGAGGAGATTCGTATCCCGATTCACATTATCACCTCCGTGACTCTGCTCTAACTGTTCACGGAAACCCTTCCATGTCCGGAGCGGCCCCTTCTTGTTGAATGGCATTCCCGCTCTTTTCGCAGCCTCACGGTTGATGTGAGCGTATATCCCCAGGTACCAGTTGCGGGCTTCGTTTTCGAGAAGAGGTATGACCAAGTTGATCTTGTCCATGTCCGTCAGACGGCAATCGGCAAAGTACTCAAACTTGACTTCGACCAGGGTCAGAAAACTAGCCAGATCCGCGATCACTCCCTTAAATGTAGGAATGCCGCTTAACTTCTCCGGCTTCCTGCGACTTGATGAAGACGAGGAACGAGATTGGTTTTGCAACCGTTCTCGTAGTGCTTCGGCCCGACGGTCATATCGGTCTTTCTTCTCATCGCTCCAGCCATTGCAACGTGGTCCCAAATAGGGTGTGATATCAGGTAGGGAATCGGCGTCATCATCAGAACTGTCATCAGGATCGGAATCACCCGGATCTCCTGCGCCAGCCCCAAAGAATCCACCACCGGGAGGTAGATTACCACCCCCACTGCCTCCTGCGTTTCCGCCAGAGGTTTCCCTTGGTCTCTCATAACCATCAAAACGCTCGCCTTGACCACCATGATTCCCGTTATCCGGAGGACCACCTCCTAACGGTACTTGTGGCGGCACTGAGCCTGCTGGCTGGTTACTCCCCGACGGTATCGGGTTTGGCGCAGCCTGCAACACCTTTAACCATTCCGCCAAAGCGGGGCAGGTCTCTGGGTGTTCTGGAGGTCCTTCATGACCTCGTTATAGACAATACCCGCATAGGGGTTCCTTCCTTCCCGTTTCCTTTCCCTTTTCTTGTCTTCTTGCCGCCGGAGGGCTTTCTGGTACCTCAACTGGTGGTGGGTAGCAGAACCTGTCATGTCTTGCTCCCCATCCACAACAGGTGGGGGTACAGTAGGGTCCTCGTGTAGGCGGCGGTGGTCCAAACCCAGAGAAACCAGCATTACCCGAAGGTTTAACCAGTGCTGTTGGCACTTGTATCGGTGGCCGGCTGGGTTGGCTAGGGGTAGCCGCAACAGGGACGGGAGTGCCTTGAGAGGCTGTAGAGGGACGTTGGTATCCGCGTCGACTATTTTCGAACATTTCCAATGTTCTTTCGACACGTTCAGCGAGAGCCGGTGAGCCAGGGCGCATGACTGGCCAGGGGGCGGAAACTGGAGTGGCTGCTGGGGTCGGAGCTAGCCCTAGCGGGTCTGGAGGTGGGAGGAGGGCTTGTGATGTAGGTGGCTCAACTGGAGTCACCGTGATTGAGGGAGAAGGAGACCGTAATGGTCTCTTAGAACTTGACCGAGTGGGCCTGGGCGAAGCATGCCGTCGGATCCCTCCGATTGGGCTAACCGAATGACTTCGAGCTATTGACGTTGAGAGTGAACGAGTCGTAATGCGGGCCAAGGATTGAGCTGTTTCAGATCCTCCTGCTTTTATACTGTCCAGAATCCGCAAACCTAGCGGACTTAGTTCTGGTTTGTACCGTTCGTCACTAGCATACAACGTCAGCTGCTGCGAAAAGTTGTCTGGCTTATCGATCACCAAAGGCAACGCCGGTGCTGCCTCAATCATCAATACATCATTATCCTCATCGATGTTGTATCCCTCATTCCAAGCCTTCTCCAACGCATCCATCCATATCTTCATTGCAAGCTGGTTATTCAGCATTGCGACAAAGGCATCTTGCTGCCTTTTCATCCACGCCACCGATTTTCCTATGATTTCCTTTCTAAACACCTTTTGTTGCTCTTTGTTCCAATGCAACAGTTCCTTCCGTGCACTTGTGACATCACGGGTCACCTCTCGGAGGATGTAGGGTTCGACGTAATCGCGAGAAAATTCCTCGACAGAGATCGTAGGAGGTCCACGGGTCTCATTTTCTACTTCCTGATGATCGTACCCCTCCGCCACTCCTTGAGCGAAGGGAATATCATTCGTGAAAGATAACGCGGCGAGGCCTGCGTCATGAAGTACTAAATCGTGACAATGTTCAGGGACTTCGATCGGGGCTGCTTCAAGAAGCTTCTTTGCGCTTGTACCGCCGATGCCCTTCACGTCGGCGATAATAGAGGCCCTAAAAATAGCTGCTTTGAGAGGATCATCGTCAATGCCAAAACTACTTTTGGAACTCAACGACTCTTCTTCCATTGTGACTGCCAAAGCAGACATGATCTCGCCTTGTCGGTTCAATTCAATTAAATCAGGAAGAGAGTTAAGCGAGAGGCTCGCTTAACGATATACTGTAACGGGGGCTCCCTCAGGTAGATGGTTCCTAAGGATGCAACCGCACCAAACTTCGACTCTCTCGAACACAACTCTTGTAAAGTGTAAAGAATAAAAGTAAACGGTAAAACTTAATATCGTTAAGCTCTGGCTTATCTCAATTAAAGTCTCTCGAGAGGATGTTGATTGTGTCGGGGCAGGAGAGTTCTCGTATAAGCTTCAAGTAGTCAGACTTATACCAAAAACTCCCCCATCAGGTCGCCCCGACCAACATGAGTATGCCCTTCTCCGTCAGGGTTGCTGGCACCATTACCGCATCCCCGAAGGGCCTAAGGTGTCAGCGCACTCTAGCAGAAATCTCCCATATGCACATTGGTTCCTGCGAGGTGTTTACCAATACACCTGCCAGAGTGAAAACCTCTGCGCATCGGTGTCTCGTCAGTGGCTAACTGTCAAGACTCCTAGGAAAGCTAACTAAATGACTCTCTTCCCATGTGCTATGAACTATGCAAGCACCCGTAGACATCAGGTGTCCTCCGGTTAAGTTCTATCTTTCTTGATTGCGAACTTACGGGGTCTACGACGCTCCCACGTAGAGCTGTGTTGGTGGCGGGACCCGTGGGTGCTACCCATGGTCCCTTACCTTCGGCACACCACTCAGCATGATAAGTATCATGCTATTAGAGTCTTCCAACAACCCACAAAGAGCCTACGGCAAAGGGGCACGTGTAGGCTTGATTGGCAAAAAACCTTCCCAGATGTCTCTGGCACTACCCGGGACTACTCTGGGGACCCTTCCGGATAGCTTACGCTAACTCCGTCAGTTTTGGTCCATTTTACTCCGTTCCTTTTGGAGAAGGTACTTGACCTTCTCACCTTGGCCCCCTTATATATCCTGCGAACAGCTTCCGGTCGGACGGACGGCGACGATGCATACAGTGTTATGGACATGTCTTCATAGATTCCATTTAACTAGCATAATGGCAACTCCACCCATTTTGGCCCATGACGCCCGGGGCGAACCCTGGGGCCGCAGGTACCTGTTAGGAATAATCCTGCCAAGTTACAGCATGTTCGGAGCACTCTAGCTCCTCCCGTAGTCTTCCGATCAATATACAAGCAAGTGCCCGTCGATCGTCATTGCGTAACAAACAATCCTAACATTACACGGAATCTTTCCGAGAACGTTTCCGACAGAAGGTAGGGTAATAGTGTCCCGAAGGTAGGGTAA